TTTTTGAAAACTGCATAGATAACAGTTTTTTAACAATGTCTTACCTGGGCTAGGTGAAAATGCGTGCATGTACTTATGTGGCTTCTCCCACAGCCATAAGAAGTGAGAGTAGCAGAAGGTTGCTCTGTATTGGTCTGGAATCTGAGTTGATGAAGACCAGCCCAGGATCCAGACTGCAAAGTTGATTTTAAATCCACTTATCTTCCTTCGCACCAAGCACAAACTGACCAGACCAAGGAATCAGTCCTGTAACTACATACCATCTAGAATTAATATTCTAATATATATTAATATTCTGATATATGACTGAAGAATTACTTTGCTGCATCTAGGAAGGTTAATCCTCCTGCCAGAGGAATCTAAGTAAACTGAGGCTATGCCTGTACTCCTTGAACTTTTGCTACATTAAATACAGCAGGATTTGCTGTGGGAACTAGGCCCTGTCAACAAAAGAAAACTTGTTGCTCAAGCTGCACAAGCTCCCTTGAACAGCAGAAGCTCTACTACCCTGCTGCACTTTCTGCCAGTGCCTATACCAAGGGTTCTGCAGGCAGTGCTATGTTGATTGTGGAAAGTGATCTCTTCATGAACCCAGCCAAAATTGCACTGCCTGTGGAACTTATCATGCAGAGTAATATTGAGTTTTTGGTTCTATACAGTGACACAAACTTATTTTTAAATACAGAAACTGCTTTCAGACTAACTTTTTTATTAAAATTCAAGATGTATTCACTACATGAAGTGCTTAGTACTGATGCTTCATACCATTGTGAAAGCATAAATAAAAGCTTATTCATTCTTCTGGCTGGCAAGTAAACTGAAAAAAGCATAAAAAATCAGGAATAGCATGTCCAAAGGCTCCAAAATCCTTGTAAGTTAAAGGCCGTAGTCAGTAGGCCATATGGCATTCTGTAGTCAGTTAATCCTTGTTAATGCTGATTTGCTTTGCATAGCTTTCAATTTTGTGTGAGAGGGCAAGACTAGAATAGTGGTTAGGACAACTTACCTGGGATGAAATGGAACCTGTATTTCATTTCTAACTACAGTGAAAAGTAAAGTATTTCACATTCATTATTCTTTTTTAGTAGGAACTGGAACCTAGATCACTCCATGTCCATGTCCCTTAATTGTTAGTCTGTAAGGTCATTCTCCCACATGCTGTCTTACAGAATACTTACTTTTATGCAAAGCACAGCAGCATTAACAGGAGGCATTGAGAGCCCTTTTCCACTGTCCCCCTCAAAATTAAATAATCCTTGAACCCGTGACCAAAACATTCTTTTGGAAGATGGAAGATATGGATTGATGTGCCTGCAGGCAGAGAAGGGGTTAGAACTTGGCTCTCTCTTGGTACTCTTAAACACTGGGCTGCTGGATAAAAGGGGTGGAGGATTGTGGTGGTACTGACCCCACTACCTCCTCCCATTGTGTTTTTGTGGAAAAAAGGCCAGGGTAGTTGCAAGCTAGCTTGTGACCAAGTCTCAACAGGAGGTATGCATACTCTGCAACCTGGAGTTAAGTTAAGTCCTATTCCTCAGAAGGCTGCGTTGTTTACATGCCTGTGTCTTTTTCTGAGTGGACACTCAGTATGCTGGCTTCTGAAGATGCTATTCCAAGGCACTTACCTCTCTCAGTACCTTATATAAGGAAGCTAGGCATCTAACCTGGCAAAGTGGATTCCAGCAGGCAGTAAGGTGTCAAGTACTTTTTCAAATCTCATACTTAGGATGAGATCCAATTCCTTCAATAACATGCCTAAGTATTATCTTGTCCACCCATCTTGGGTCCCTGAAAAAAGTTAACGTACCTGTTTTTGTAACATGTCCTCATCAGACCTTTAGGTCTAAGTGTCAGAAAGCAGCAAGCAGGTGGAGGCCCATGCACCCTCTGTGGTAACTTTTCTCAGGGACTTAGAGTGGAAGAGGATCACTCCTAGATACTTCATAGGTGGAAGAGAATCTGGCCCTTTACTTTGACTCCTGGGGGCATACATGGGAGCTGTCAGTTTGAGGAATGTGCTTGAGATATAATAAGTAACTTCTACCACTTAGACCAACAGTGGACAATGGCCTGTTTGTATTGTGCATAAACTAAATAAACCCAATTATCCAAAACCAAGTTTCTTTGTTGAATAGTTTGCTGAATTGAGGGCAAAGTGAAGTTCCACTGAATTCAACAGGCCTGCTCCTGTATTTACAATTTAAGCATAAACTTAAAAGCTTAGCTGGATCAGAGCCAAAATAAGTCACCACTATGGGATGGGATCCTCGCCTGATGGTGAAATCAACTCTTGTTCAAGTCCATATGTGAAGAAATGTGTAGTAGTAACTACTTGGAACTCCTGAAAGAATACCTAATAAAATGGTTCTGTGCAAATGAATTTTGTACTGTTACTTTTTCCAATTCAGTAACTAGTATTGAATTTGCTAGCTGCAGAGGTGAATTCCCTTAACTTCAGTGACAAAAGTTGTGTTTTTTAAATGCATTAAGCACCTTCAAAGCTACAGAAGTGTTTGTAGTTTTTTTTTATTGAAATAGAACATTCTTTTCCAATACTAGACCATTTACATTAAAATCTGACAACCAAAGTTTGAAAATGAAATAGAAATTATGCTGAATGTATCCCTTCATCATAGATCTTGTTCCTTGGTTTTATTGTTGGTAAAAACACATAGCAAGACACTTGCAGCACTAAAAATTCTATTTATAAAGTAAACCCGACCTACACTGTTAACAAAAGGAGACACTTGAATACATACATTATCAGATAATTTTGTCTGGATTATAATTTAATAGCAATTAAAATGACATTAGTATAATAAACAATTGCACTTTAAAACATTTGAAAAATTAAAAAAGTACACAACAGATACCCCACAATTATACATTTTGTGTATAGTTTTATACATAACTATATGAACAAAGAGGTTAATCATATATAACCTTGTCAGAAGAAATGGTATTTTGTGTGTATAAGTAAGTTACAAAAAAATTGAAAGACAATATACTACATAGTGGTTCATTTAGTTCTTAAAACATTTTTGCTGTCTTAAATAAATTCAGTAGTAACAGTTTTTACATAATTCCAACAATTTGTTCAGAAATGGCTGCAACAAAGCTAAAGCAAAGTAACACTTCATTGGTATTTAGTGCAAATTTTTGTGTTCATTTTACATGAAATGTCACTGAACATGTAGACTTTAAGAAATGTTTCGGAATGAGCACTGTACATAGTCTGAATACAGTTCTATTAGTACACTAGATACCATTATACTTGAAAAGACTCTGCTTTAGTTTAAGATCATTCATAATGACAACTGTTTTGCATGTGCTGTAAACGTGTCCAATGATGTTTTGGTAGGTTGGTACATTTTGCCGTGCATAATACCACCTTACACTTACTATGTAAATGTATGCTTTTCAGGACACCTGTGCCTTCAGTTCATTAATCCTGACTTCCTGCTTTTAGTTACCTTCACAACTGGCCTGAGCTCCCACTTTCCCTACCAATCCCCCCATCCCTCCCTCTCCCCACCAAAACACAGCCTTTCTTGCATCCAAAATCCTGAACATGGATTTCAGACAGTTCAGAGTTATAGTTACTAAACTATATTGCAGGCATTTAAATCCAGATGTGCTATAATTGTACATTAAGAATGGCTACTTTATGGAACTATTAAAATACAAATAATGAAGAACCAAACTCCTCCTTCAGATAATCACACAGAGATCCTACTAAAGTCTGTAAGAGCTGTGTTCAAATATCTGAGAGTAGCACTTGCCCATTTATACCTAAACTATTTAAAATACTTAGTACTGGAAACAACAATAGGCATGTTAAAGGTTTAGTTTAAATATGAAACTGAGCTGACCAGCAGCTGCCCAAGAGCCACAAGAACAAAGCTGTCTGCAGCTCCACATTTCCTGAATCTGTGTCCCTTATGTTTGGGCTGCTGTAACCATGTTCTTGGACCTGTTTCCTACATAGGATACAGTTTATTCAATAACTTTTGCTAGTCAGTTCTTGGAACAGGGCTCAACTCTCTTTCACATTATTTAGAGTGCTTCCCCCCCATGCAATTTAGCTTAAGTGTTACTATGAAAAGTCATATCTGGTATATCATTCCATAATAATATAAGGTCCCCTCTCCACTAAAATGCTTCCTCTTATTATGTTGTGGACTTAAAGTTCCTTTGAGCTATAAATGTACGCAGGATTTTTAGAAAGTTCAAATTTGAATTTGTTTAGGATGTACTTGCTTGTAAAAACCATTCTTCAGAAAAAAAATAAGGCATCAGTTTTCCTATGGGAAAACTTAAGGATACCAACATTTTTATTGTTATTGTTACAAAGAAGATAAAGGGCATTTTCTTTTAGCTACAAGGAGATAAATTCTGAAAGAAACATTCAGCTGCAATAATTGATACGTGGGATAGGAATACATCACTTTTTCCCACTCAATCTCAAAGCTCAGTTCAGAATCTAACTGAACTGCATAAGGTCACAGAGGGAGTAAGGCCTTCAAGGATTAGAAAGTAAAAACCCCTCCTGATTCTCAGTTCAAGAAAGTAGATTTAAATACATTCTAACATACCATCGTCCCCTTAAGATGCCAATAATTTGGTGTTCTGTTTTCAGTCACTTACACTAGAATCCTACAAACGTTAACATCTTAGAGGACACTCCCATTTACAAAGTTGGTCCTAATGAACTCAGATTCCTTTTATATATAAAACTATGCACATGCACAAATATCTGTAGTATCAGGAGTCTATGCTGCAAGTGCTTCAGAGCAGGGATGGTGTCTGCATGTGTCTTGGATAGGCCTGACCACATCAGTGCTCAATAAGTGTCATTGCTTCTGTGTTAACTAGGAAGACCACTTGATATTCCTAGTACATCACTTTCTGTTTCTGTCAACCTTTTTCTGTTTGGATATGGTATATTCATATATTTAACTAGAATGATGGGTAAATGGTTTACTTGGGGGGGGGAGTTTGGAGGGGGGCAGGTTGACAAATGAGTTACAGTAACTTGCATGCCTAGCATGAATAACACCATTGCATCAGGGTTTGGGTAATATCACCACAGCTTGCACTTCTTCCACAAATGGAAAGACATATCCTAAAATCCTTCAGTTGGGCAGAGATTTTCAAATTGCAAGTAAACTGCATCAAACCTTGATTTCTAAAACAAAGCAAGCATTAGGATGAAGAGGAGGGAACATGCATCTTGCATTCCTTTTCAGTGCTGGAGCAGGCAGACTTTTCTGAGATCTCTACACTAAGAGTAGAGATCCCAAACTTCTGAACCAACGTTCACAAAATGTAAGGAGCGTACTAGACTAGAGATTGTGTCCAACAGCTGAACTATTCCTGTATTTTGAGAGAGATTGGCTCTCAACTTTGTGCCTGAGCTGGCTCTTTACCTGTTTTTTCAAAGTGACTGGACCTATTATGTGTGTAAACCTTACAGTACGCTAGAGAGATAGTGAGTAGTTGAGTTTTCAGTCCTTAAGGACATGCATTTTAGTTTTGTCATATGTAAAAAGCTGAATAAATAAAAGGAGAAAACAAGAATCAACAGTAAAGACCAGAAAGATTATAGTTTACTTTATGATCTGTGGACAGTCACTCCAAGCTTTTGCTTTCCTCTTGGCTAGGGCCAGCCAGGCTGGTTCTGTTGACACAGGGTTAGCGTCGGGGGTAGAAAATCTCTTGGTAACCTCTTTTGCAAGTGGGGTGGATGGAACAGAATCTGAAATCTCCACTGTTTTCAGTGGGGAAGGGGAAAAAGAAGAAAACACGTAAATGAAGTATGTGCTGCACTGCAGAATAATGATGGAGAATTGAACATTTTACCAAACATATCCTGAAACACCACATTTTAAAACCATAATTCAAGCTTCTGTGTCAAGCTTTCAGAAGCAAATTAATTTAAACAAGCTGAATTGTTTGAGCAGTGAAACCTGGTCATTTTAAAATAGGATTAACCCACAATGCTTTTTCAAAGCTTTTTTTCCCCAGAACCTGAAAATTCTACTCCTCAGACATCCATGTAACAAAGTATCCGCAGATTTAGTTCTGCTGTCTTATACAGATGCAACTCCACTGTCTTTATGTTATGTTCTAAGTGACAATTGTGCAAACTGTGTTCCACAAATTTGCAATGAGAAGGGAATCTAGTCCTGCGATTTCTACTTAGTAAACAACTCTGATGACTTCCCTACTTAGGAAGGAACAGCAGGTAACTATGCTCCTCTTAGCTGTTTGCAGGCTTCAAGTAGTGGAAACCTTTGCCACTGAAGTAAAAGCTGTGTTTCTGAGCATAAACAAGAATCAGATCTGTTGGATATGAAATTGCCTTTTACATATTCACTTTTCAGAGCAGAACCACATGAAAGCAAAATGTATAGATTGGACAACAGTACAGTATTTACCAATAGTTATACATGCTAGAGTTATAGAAAGCCCTTAAAGAGTTGAGTAAGAGCACAGCTGATGATTATCAGATCCTGTGCACATCTTATCCATTATTCTATCTATGATAGGAAAATTAGGCAATAACTAAAAATGCCAGAATAAATTTCTTCAAATTAAAGATCTCTTAAGACATGGGCTTTGTTGAGGCTTTCAGTGAACTAAATAATCTGTAATTCCTGTCTGTTATCAAGGCAAAGGTATCATGCAACTGTCTTAAAATGCTCAGTCCCAAGCACAAAGGGCAACTTCTAAGATTGCTAACAATTAGGTTCAGATATAGAGGCTATTTTCTAGACAAGTGTCTTCTAAAAACGGATGGATTCTATACAAGTTCACATAAAAAAAAAACCTTGGGAAACGCAGTTCGCCTATAGGAGGGAGAATCAGAATTTTTTGCAAAGCACCGTCTAGTCTTAGAAGCATCTGACCTGTTTTCATTTTTAAGGGTTGTTTGGTGTTGTGTTTTTACCCATTATCATTCTATTATCTTGTGCAGCAGCTGGTAGCAGATAGTATATTTACTGAAATCTAAGATGGGATTTTTTTCACCCTAATCAGCATGGAGGAGGGGAAGGTCTCTTGTCTTAGATTCATGTTCAAAGTGGGGTGAAGGGGGGCAGGTGGTGGCCGCAGCAGAGGCTGTGGGGAGCAGGGAGTGGGGGTGGTGCAGGGGGTTGGAAGGCTACAAGGGGAAAAATGAGGGCAAGAGTGCCACCTGAACCACCACCACTGCTTGCCCTGCTACGGGGGTGGGGGGGCAGGACAGAACTCAAGACAACCCTTCGATATTCAGATTGTATACCTGGAAAATTATGGGGGGGTCTAATTATGGGGGGGTCATCTTAGATTCAAGTAAATATGGTAGTTTAGGGGGCTGGTTATTTCAAAGGTTCTGCAAAGAGAAGCAGAGTGTTTTAAACATTACCTTCCTAGCAGCACATTTTGTATAAGATTTCAGTGCGGGTCTAAACTACATACTTAAAAATACTATTTTAAAAATATTTTTAGAATATATCTGTTTTAACATTAATGTTTTCCTCTCGGGGAGGCTAGAGTTACCAAGTTCCAACCTAGACTTTCATATCAAATGCCTTCAAAATTGTATCTATCCCTCACCAACCAAATAGATGCCTCTGTTCCTAATAAGCAAGGCAAGCTGTCTGTTACACTGTCTGTTATTCTGCAAAGATTTGTTACTTGACCTCAGATATAAATCCTGACCAAGTTTAAATTGAGGTTACTATTTTGTTGAAGGCATTGTTAGACAGGTTCCAGTTTTCTTCAAAAATAACTGAATATCTGCCCACAGATTCAAAAGCAAAAGGTTTTTTCCTCACATTTTAGAGAGGGGGGATGAAGATAGCAGCTACAAAAGTTATTAGACCTGAGTAGAAACCAGACTCATGCAGAGTTGGTTCTTTTATCAGAGGCACAGATTTCACGGAATGCATTTCCTCTCAGCCAGGAGGCACTCTTTGGTGAGTGTCCACTAATTGAAACAATGTTGACCCAACCTTTGCTATTTTTGATCTGTGAGGAATTAAACAGAAGGAACTGAATCACTTCCTCACTTTCAACCATTTATTCTCCGCTACACTTTAGTACACAATATACAGACTTGGTGGAGTCTATTCTTAATAGAAGTGTCAATTATGAATTTGTAATAAATGTTCCTTCAGGAGCTCAGCAAACTTTTCTTCAAACAAAAATTCCTATGATTTGGCTTGACTAGAGATAGTCTAATCAGAGAGCCCCAGACAATACTTTATAGCAATTATTATTTTATTTGCATACCACATGAACCTTTCTCCAAAAAATTAGCCATAGAAAAGTGGGGTCCATGTCTTCAGTGAGGAAGCTGATTTCCAGAAGGGCTGGAGGCTGAGGCTGCATGAAGCGGGTGCAGGATTCCCTTCTTCAACCTCACTCCCCTTTCTCCTCACACCTTGCTACCCAGCCACCAGCTACTGGTCTAACCCTTTTTCCCTGTTGAATTTTTTACAGTGTTGGTCTGCATAAAATTAGGCTACAGTTGTGAAAGGGGTAAACTGTGTGGGTGATAAAGAGGGACTCTGCTCCCAATCCTTATGCAGCCCAGTGGCAACTAAGACTCTGCCTGCTCTCCCACTTTCTTTTCAATGAAGTCTTTTTTCCTTCATTCTGCCTTCCCAAACCAAAGGATGTGCTTTATTCAGGGGACATGTCTTGTGTGAATAAATATACATTAATTTATTTAATTATTTAAATTACACCTTATTTATACTATGTAGTAGTAATTGATCACTTCATTTTTATGTCTGTAATGCAAATAAGAAATCAAGTTCACGTCCCAAGCAAGAGGAAGAAAAATGCTGAAATGATCTGTAGACCTGCATGGATGAACAAGTATTTCAAATAAGTCATTAAGGATAAGCAAAGGACTACAAGCAATGGAAAAATGAAACAAATCAATAGGAGGGAAATATTTCTCTGGTCCAAGAGCTTACAAATAAAAAAGAATAGCCAAAGGCTGAGTTGAGTTAGCTCTTGAATAGCTACTAAAACCAGTAGCAAAAGTCTGAAGACAACTTAGGTGATGCCCAAGAGCTGAATAAATTCTTCACCTTAGTCTTCACTAAGGATGTAGATAAAACTGAAGACAATAGTCAAGTACTACCTGGCAATGGAGACATGATTATATAAATTAACGTATCTGGAGTGGAGTTGAAATACTGAAATAATTGGCATGAAGATCTCTTGCATGGATCTTCACTGAATAAGTCAATTCAGATAGGAATCTATGACTGGAGAATACAAAAGGTAGCATCTATTTTTTTTTAAAGGGAGAAAGAGTGACCTGGACAATTACAAACCCACTTGCTTGATTTCAGCACTACATAAGGTTTTAGAACTGATATTGAAGGCAAGAATGATCACAGATTTGAAACCAAAGAGAAAACGTGACAAAGTACAACCTGGATTAATCTGAGGACATTGTCAGTAACCTGCCAGTTAATCATTTTCAAACTAATTTCAGCAGTCTATGACAAGATAATAAACTACTTGGATAAGGGCATTACAATGGACTTAATTATTTAGACTTAAGCAGAGCTTTTCATACCATGCTTTCTGGAAAATTATTGGCCAAACTGGACAGGACAGATCAGTACTACAGTTGTAAGATGGATGGGAAGTTGGTTCAAAGGAAGATCAGAGTAGGTTATATTGAAAGGTGAGTTCACTGACTGGACCTGGTTACTGATGTCTAGATATTGCATCAGAGCAGGGGTTTTCAACCTTTTTTGAGCAGTATACCCCTGGCAGCCGGGGTGGCGGGGTTGCAGCAGCTAGTTGTGGAGCAGCAGAGGTCACACGTGGAGCGGCAGCACAGGGTGATAGATGGTGGGAGCTGTCACATGCAAGCTTCTCCCCACTGTGTCTGACCAGCCAGGCAGCGCCTGTTTGACCTGCAGAGGGACGCTGCTGCCCTCGCCCTGCCCTGGTCCTACTCCTGTGAGGTGGTGGTGCAGACTGGAAGCGCTCTGTCTCCACCTGTGCGTACTCCCTGGGACCTTTCAAAGTACCCCCATCATTGACAACCCAAAGTATCCCCAGCGTACCCCCAGTTGACAACCTTTGAATAATGGTCATGAGGAATGGCAAGGGTTAATTGGTTTCAAAAGCCCATTTGTGACAAAGTTTTCTTCAAGACCCAATGTATCTGAAGCCAGCAGATAGGCAGGCTGGGAAACTGAAGACTTGTATCACACATAACATGAGCAGTGTACCCAAACAAAGATAAGGGACTCTAGAGCATCAGTGCTAGATCACAATGCCCAACTGCAGAGTCCTTGGGATTTTCAGTTTTGGTGAACGGCTCAAATTAGGAAACTGGTAAATGACCAAATTAAGATGCATGCCTGTGATAGGTTTGAGGAACAAAGCAATATGCTGACAGGACAGAACGTGGACAGGATGAACACCACAGGGAAACCAATTAACAGTACCCGGGAATGAAGAGTCATCAGAGGGAGAGAAAGGATACAAAAGGAGGGATTTCAGAGCAGCAAAGGGACCCCAAGAGGGGAACCCAATGCCACCATGGACAGAAGACACACCACCAGCCTGTCTGTCTCATCCCGTTGAGGGGGCAGGGCTGGGCCTCAACCTTCAGGCTACTGACTGCTGACATTCAAGAAAGAACCACAGGATGAAGTTCACATACTGGCCAGATACACCTTCCCTCTGTGACAGCCCTAGGACTGGTAGGTGTAGAATTCAGGAGATTATTTTGTGTATTATTCTCATCTGCCATCACTGTATATCAACATTCACCTGTTATCAAATGGAGAAGCCGAGGTCAGTCTGAGGGTTTGGGTCTGCCCAGAACAAGGTACCTGGGTCATAAATTCAGTGTCAACAGTTACTAGTGGGGTGTCCCTGAGGGGCTGGTCTCTTGTTTATCATTTTTAGGGACCGTATTCCTAGTGGCGGAAGCATCATGGAATTTGCAGATAGCATTAAACTGGCAGGTACTGGCAATGTGTAAGAGGATGATTCCTATACAATAACATTTAGATAATGCTGTGGAATGGAGCATTAGAAATTATATGAAGTTTAACGTGGAATTTCATTACAAGTTGCAGTGCATAGACTGAGGACGACTGAGGAAAAGAAGAATTTGGGTGAATTGGCTCATCATAGGATGACAGTGAGCCACCAGTATGACGCAGTTGTGAAAAGCTAATGCAGTTTTAGGGTTTATTAGATGAGGTTATATCCAACAGACATCAGGAAGTACCAGTTCTAGTGTCTGAGGTGTATCGGTAAGATTCCATTTAGAATCATATGTGCGGTTCTGGCTACCAGTGTTCCAGAAAGAACAGCTTCACTTGGAACAGTACAAAGAAGGACCGCTAGGGTGATTAAGGAAATAGAGATCTTTTCTATGAGGAAAATTAAAGGAGCTTGGCTAGTTTAGCTTCACAGAAGAGAAAGTGAGAGGTCAAGATTATCTTTTACAAATACATTTGAGTAGTGAATATTTGGGAGGGAGAAGAGCTTTTGAGGCTGAAAAACCACTGGTGCAAGATTAAATACCATGAGATAAAATAAAGAAACAGTCCTGGTAGAAGAAACCAGAACCCAGGACTTCCTCTCCCAGCAGTTTGCCTTAAACACTGGCTTCTTTGTTGCCCAATGAATCCTGAATTCTTTTTTTGGAATGGCAAAAACTTCAACATTAGGGGCCTGAGAGAGAACCCAACAAGATTAGCTCAGCCTGGTGGCAAGCCTGCTTTCCTAGGAAGTGAGTGATGCAGGGTTACAATCCCTAAGGCTGAGGAAGGAACTGAATCTAGATGTCTCATCTCCTGGCCATCTGCTTTAGCTGTTAGGCTGTTGCATATAAAACCTGGGCACCACTAGCGTCCCCCCATCTGTTTCAAATGAAAGTAGGTCTACAAGCAATGGAAAAATGAACCTAATCAGTAAGAAGAACATTTTTCTCTAGTCCAAAAATGTAGGAATGAAGCAATTAGGAAGTCACAGAACTGTCCATTCATTGACAGGAACTGTCCATTCATGGATTAGAAACTGACTTAAAGATAGAAAGCAAAGAGTGAGTATAAATAGTCAATTTTCAGGATGGGAAGAAATAAACAGCAGAGCCGATCCAAGCAGGGTGCGGGGCCCGTGGCAAATCAGCCCATGCAGGGCTCTGCACCCACTCCAATCCCACGTGCCTCAGACCCAAAGAAGCTGCCGCTGCCATCAGCACTGGCAGCATCAGTGGTAGGGGAGGGGGGAGAGGTAGCGAGCGGCTGGATGCAAAGCCAGTGGCACGGAATCACCACAGCTGCTCCGCCCAGCTCCACGGAGCCCCCAAAGTGTGGGGCCCAGGGCAGTCACCCCAATTCACACCCCCTAAGGGTGGCCCTGCCCCCAGGGATTTGTGTTGGGACCAGTGCTGTTTAATATATTCATAAATCTAGAAAAGGGTAGCAAGGTGGCCAAATTTGCAGATGACACAAAGTTATTCAGAATGGAAAAGAATAAGGTAGACTTCTGTAGTTCCTCAGAGGAGCTGGCACTACTGAGCAAATGGGCAACTAAACAGCAGATGAAATTCAATGTGGATAAGTATAAAGTGATGCATGTGGGCAAAAATAACTCATAGTGTAGTAAGTCCACTGTGATGGGCTCTATATTAGCTGTTACTACACAGGAAAGATCTAGGAGTCATTGTGGACAGTTTGTGAAAAACATCAGCTCAGTGCTCAGCAGCCATCAAAGAGGCAAACACAATGTTATGGATTAAGAAGGGAATTGTAAACAAACCTGAAAGTATCATTATGCCCCTTTACAAATCCATAGTGTATTCACACCTTTGATATGGTACCCAGTTCTGGTCCTCACACCTCAAAAAGTATATAGAAGAACTTGAGAAGGTACAGAGAAGGGCAACAAGGATGATTAATGGTTTGGAGGGGTTTCCATGTGAAGAGAGACTGAGGCTAGGTCTATTCAGTTTAGAAGAGATGCTTGAGGAGGGGAAATGATAAGCGTTTACGAAATACTAAATGGCAAAGAGAAAGTAAAAAGGGATTTATTATTTACTCTCACACAAACTAGGGGTCACATAATGAAATCAGGTAGTAAATTTTAAACTAACAAAAGGAAGGTCTTTTTCACACAGTGTATAATTACAGCATATAATACATTGCCATCAGCTGTGGAAGCCAGATTCAAAAAGGGATTGGACAAATTCTTTGAGCAAAGGGGTATCAGTAGCAATGGAGCACAGAAGTTAGGCTAAATATCCTCTGAATCAGAACTTCCTGTACTTTATATGTTGGAGGCTGCAAGTGGGAGAGGAACAGGGGGAAAATACTGGTTTATAACCCTGTTCACTATCCCTTTCATCATCCACTCTGCCACTGTGTCACATGATACTGGGCAACATGGGCCTACGGTCTGACCCAGTAAATGGCAGTTCTTGTGCAGTTGTGGTTTGCATAGATTTTGTAAGGAGTTGGTATGTTAGGCATACCTTGAGCAGGCCTATCAGGTCAGCCCATCAAGAGTTTTAGGCAAAGGACCGAGGCTAAGCTAGCCATTGAGCTGTAAGTCCTTTCCAGCTGGGTCAGTTCTGGGCATGTACAATGGTGCAACTTCAGGTTCCCAAGGAACCTAGTCAAACAGTGATGTGGCTCTCTAGTTTAGGCCTCTCTCAGGTTCAGCAGCACCTAATTGAGGGTTTTTAGGATTCAAATTTTGATTTAGCTGCCTAGATTCCAAGTCAGTTATATGTTAGGTGCCTGTGTCTGCTACCGGCTCTCTTCCTAAATCTGTTCATGTTAAAAGTGAAAAGGATTTTTCTGTAGCTGCCAGCCTATCCAACTGAACCTGGGATCTGACAGATAAGGTGGGTTTCTTCTGGCTGAAATAACAAATGTGCTGTAAGAAAAGCAAAGTTTACAGTTCTTTTGATGCATGAGGAAGAAAACAATCTTGTTCACTTTCCCAGAGTTTTGCCAAACCAGAATTCAATTTTCAGTTGTTAAAATAATCCTAAATCTTTCACCATACCTGTCACAGAAGTAGGAAGGGTGTTGGATTTTTTCAGCTGCTCTCTGCGTTCTAGCCGTGACACACCAGTCTCAATTTTCTTCTCCCCTTCCTGAGGTGTGGATTTCTGCAGTGCATTTGTTCTGATGCTATTGCTGCTTTTATTATCTGACAGATTGCTGATACCAGCCTAGAATGGAAAAGGACAACGGTTAAATTAGAATCAATCCATTATGTTGCCTTATATACATGACAGGAAATATGTTAGACCTGAAGCTACCTGCCTGTTTGTTTGACCTTTGAAAAATCTTGCTACATATAATCCTTTTTTGGTTGCACAGACCAGAATGGCTTTAAAGCCAAAATCTTCTCTTAGAAGGAAGAAGGGTTCTCACGGGCTTTCCTAGGGATTTGTCATATATCTATTGGGCCTTAGCAACAGCCATTCCCCAAATTAGCACACACATTTTATAAGAACCAATGCCACAAAACTTGAGTGAAATTTATGGAGTCCTACAGTTTAAATTGAAATCCAAGTAAACTGCTCTGAACACTTGCACATTTTGCACTTGAAATCTATTTGTAAAATTCCTGTTTTGCAAAACAAAACCCCCAAATTTCTTCCAAGTTTTTTCCTATCAAACTGAACCTGGGATCTAAACTCATTAGAATCTTACAAGCTGAGCAGAGATTCAATTATATAAAACAACGTTAGAGAAATAACACCTGAGTTTCTATTTAAGGTTTTTAAAGATTCTGTATCAGTTTACATTTTCTTTAGCAAGCTTCTCAGCCTGCTTTGCCTCTCTCGCTTGTCTCCTCTCCTCTCTGGTAGCTTGCTGCTCACGAAATCCCTTTTGCTTCTGTAGTGCCAATGTAATCCAAAGCGGCTGTGCAGTTTCAACCTTTTCCATCAGTTTGGAGCCATCTAAGGAGTGCCTGCTCTGGAGAACTGGCTTTTCTGTAAGAATAAATATAAAAGGGTTAGATGAGTGGGATATAAAAGATGTTTATTTTGCATTAGCCAGGATATTAAAATCCGTCTCTGAACACTGAAAACATTAATGTATTGACCCCTGTGTCCTTCACAGCTTTTCAAGCACACCATGCCACATTGTTGAAGCAGTTTTTTTTTACTCTGTATAACAAACATAAGAAACAAACAATATAACTTAACAAGCATGCTAACATTATACATAGCTGTCCAGTGTTATTACTGGTGTATCACTTCAGTGGGCTTATCCCAAGCCACTCTAATGAGTTTATTCCAAGCCTTATCCTAATTTCACATATATGGATGCAATTACTCTCTTAGGTCCATTTGTTGGGGGTATCCCACATGCCTAGTTCTCCTGTCCTCTGCAGAAATAGGTTCCAGCCACTGGATGTTCCTGTTTCCTGTTCTTTTTGCCATGTCATTTTTTGCTTCTACCTATTGCTCCCTTTAGACCAGGAGTATCTAGGCACTGCACAGGAAAGGGCTGGACTGGCAATCTATCATAAATACAACTTCTAAAAAATGGGACTACCAAGTGACAGACCACAAAGAGACTTGAGGTCACAACATGGTCCAGAGAGTTCCATCTGAGAGGCTTTGAAATGTAAATCAGATACTGGAAACTAGTGTCTGCAGGCTGCACTTCTAGATTAAAGAAAAAGATAGCGACTGGTCCTGCACAACTCTGTGGGGCAGATTTGGACACCCTAATTTTTGTCCTTTTTGGAAAACGGGGCATGGATTTTGCACTGTATGTTTGCTTCTCAACCTGCATTGACCTCTGTGTTGACACAGCTGGACTGCTTTCAATATTGTGCCTCACCCTTTTAAACCTAACTTGGTTATCTCTGTGCTAACACACAAATTGCAGTACAGGCACGCCCACTGTCTCATTTCCAGAGATGGATCTAGAGTTTACACTGCTTAGAACTGCACTGATTTCCAACCCACAGCATGGCTGCAGCTATCCTCAGGTTCTTTACAATTAACATTGATGGCATTTAAGTATCAGCAGTTATTTTCTCATATGGTTATTATTCATATTGAAGGGGTATTATTAAGTATAATCAGAGAAAAGTAGGCCTGGAGTTTTAGGCTGGACAACCCTGACTAAACCAGGGTTGATCCTGCCTTAAGGAGGGGGTTGAACGAGATGTCCTTCCATGGTCTCTTCCAACCGTACTTTTCTATGGTTCTACAACTCTTCAATATAAACAATAATCATTGTTTAAAGTCTGAACGTCTTGATAGTTCAGAGGTGAAGTTCCAGTACAGATTGGATTCTGCCTTTCCTACCCCACAACTCTGAGGGATCTTACACAGTGGCCATATCTACATGAGACATTTACTGTGAAGCTGCCTAATTAGGTCTCCAGGAAAGTCTCTGCATCTGCACATGCGGTGCTATTAGGCCACAACAAACTAATTAACTCCATCATAGATTAGTACTTGTAAATACAAGTACTGTCCTATGGTGGTGTTCTTTGGAGCACAGCAATGCACGTGTAGATGCTGATGGAGCTGGCCAGGGCATGAGGATGGTTCAGTGCAGGGGCTGCCTGCTGACAAGCCCTGACCAGGAGCACCCTTGTGCCCCAGCCAGCCCCTCCACAGCATGTTGAGCCAGGTCAGGGCAGCCTCAGGTTGGCAGGCTTGCCCCCAGGGCCCACTGCTAGCCAGGGCTGCTCCAATCTGGCTCAATGCGCTATAGTCCCAGGCACACACGTAAACACAGTGGAGTTTATTGCCATGTATTAATTCCATGTTTAGATGCTCCCAGTGACAATCTCCATTTAACTTCCTCCTCGCCACTACCGAAATGTGTATGAATTTGTATCTGCAAGGTTCAGATCCTCCTGCACAGAGCCAATACAGCCATTAGAGAGCAACAAGGAATCTGACTAGACCCCCTGGACCAGTGAACGTGGCCAAGGAGCCATTCCACTGTGCTACTGCAGGGCTCTATAACACAGTAAGCCTCTTACAGTCACCTACACTGGCTTTCGGTCCAGTGATCTACTAGATATAGGACACCAAAACAGAGAGCTTAGACTTCAATAATTTAATAGGAACTGTGCAGTGCACAAAAAACAACACATCCCAAGGGGAATATGAAGTAAGTATGGCTCCCTTGTGCTTTCTTCCATGATACTTTAAGCACCCCATCATTGGCCTATAGAGACAGATCCAAGGTGGGGTCTGCTGGTGCACTTACTTTGATTCCACCTCCACCCAAAGTTTAAAACCAACTGCCTAGCAGTGGCAGCAACAATCCTAGTCAGGCAGTGCCAAAGGAGTCAACTGACGTCATGTCTCATTATAATTAGAGACCCATCTAAACTGGGGAGAGACAAAGGGTCTTTTGTGGCCTGCTCAGCACGCAGAGCCACTTTTGTGGGCATTTCCCAGTGGCCCTGCCCCTCACTGCTGATTAACAAAGAGGGCTGCCCTTAGTGTGGCCACTGCCCCTCGCCACTGATTGACTCAGAGGGATGCCCTTCATGTGGCCCCACCCCCCACTGCTGATTGGTGAGGAGGCCCTGGCAAGGGAGGAAACATGAGAGGGCAGCTGCCATCTTGGCTGCTCCCCTTCATGCTGCTCTGCCAGCGGTGTCTTCCCCTACCCAGCAGGCTGTGAGGCCAGGCAACAGTGGCCATGAGGAGCACTGCCTCCCACTGGGGAGCCAACATTTTATTTTCAGTAAGTTTTGGGGTGATTCCATGGGAAATTGTGGCAAATGCCATTTTTTGTGGCAATTGTGGAAATTGCCATTTTTCACAGTATCCACAAAAACTGCCAAAGCGCAATTTAAGCAGGTCCCTAATTTTAATCTACAGGCTTCCTTCACCAACCACAGTTTTGCCAGCCATGGGTTTGAGTACGTATGCTTAATATTCTGTATACCATTTTGGCTACCACAGTATAGCGTTTTGAGTAACCACAGCTTTCTGTGGCCGCACATCAGTCTGCCACCTGCCATTTTCCCCATAGGCCTTTTACCACGGTTTTGCCGACCATGGGAACTTTCAGGAACCTAACCCCAGTGGTTGGCAAGGGAAACCTGTACCCTGATCCCTTCTAAAATCTTCATTCCAGAGGTGTTAACAACCCTCTCCTTTTTAATGGTCAAGCTAGCCTTTGTTCTGCAGTTCTCCTACCTGTTAGCTGCTCCTTGTATTGAAGTTCCTATTTCACAGCCCTGCAGATTGTTTTAAACTCATTCCAATTAAGTTGTATTTGTTTTTGCTTCAATACAGCCCTAGGCCCCTAGCATATTTGTAAAGCTTCTAGTTTATTTTTAACTGGCAAAAAAAAAGTTATTTTATATGTGATGACATCTTACCATCTGCACCCTGCCTTTTCAAACTTCTAGATCCACCCAGGTCTGCCTACCCCACATTCCACAACCATTTCCTCAGAATACACTTCCTGGGGCAGCCAGGACTGGATTTCTAGATTACCACAACCTGACATGCAACTGTGTCACTTTTTATTCATGTGTGATCTGTTTTGTTTCTGCATGAACTAGTTAGTAAGCTTGTTGAGATTAGAATTCCCCTTATTTGTATAGCATCAATGCTGCTGGCACTCAGTGAATAACAGACTGAACAAGGATTCATACTTATCTGCATTTAAGGCCAAAGCAAAGCAAGCATAAGCCATCCTAAGCCAGCACTAAGGCCAAACTGCTGTGTCCAGACCTCCTACCCCTCACTCTGAAAACACAGTTGATAGATATAACAAGTTCTTTTCACACTGCATACCTTTTTTTAATGGTTCAGGCTTTTTGTCAGCTTTCTCTCTCCACGGAATACTGATAGATGGGAAAAATGATTTCTTTTCTCTGGTTTCTTCCTCGTTTTTGTTTTCGATTGGAGCTGGTGGGAGCATGTTGTTCCCTTTACTGTCATCCTTTTTCCAGCTGAGGTCCAATTCAGGCTTAGCTACTCTCTGCCCAAAGGTGTCAGGTAAGTTTGATCTGTTCATCTTAGCAAGAGGAGAGGATGGTGGGGTCTGGTTGGTCGGCTTCGGGGCTAAAGCAGGTTTTTGTAGAGCTGGTGATTTACACACAGGTTTCTCAGGACCAGACAGAGAAATCTGGCTGCTGGCTGGTGTGGACAGTGGAACACCTGCTGTGGGTGAGTTCTCCATAACACTGTTTGAAGAGTCTTTTAAAACAGTAGCAGCAGCATCCCCCCTGACCAAACTAGGGGCCGGGCTCTTATTTAGAGCAGTAATACTGCTTTCTTTTTCAGTTTCGGCTGTAACTAGGGGGACAGGGACACCATCAAAGCTATCTCCTGCACTGTATCTTTTCTTTTTCCTTTGCTCCATCTGTTGATCATAGTGGAAACGCAGAGAGTAATTTGTTCTCCTTAACTTTATACCAAATGGAGAAACATTTTCTTCAGCATTTGGTCCTGCTTTATCCAATTTTCTTGTAGCATTATTCTGCTGACTTTCCAAAGCAGCTGAAGACTCTGACTGTGGCGCTTCTCTGCCTGGAGAATGAGGGACACTTGGAACAAGGAAAGATGGAAGATCTTTGGCAAACTTACAGCCTTCAGTGTTGTCTGTCACTTCAGTTTTCTCCCGAAATACTTCCGGTGCATTATTTGTCCAAGCAGGGACTGCAGCATTAACAGCCACATTTTCATTTGACTCACTAGATAAACCTACTGTTTTCCCCACATTCTCTAGTTCAGCACCTTGTGTGCCACTTATATTCTCTGCCTCTGCACTGCCTTTTGAACTGTCTGAAAATTTCTGCCATGCTGGTGTTATAGAAAATTTTGCATTTGCAGATAGGGTTTTCCTTAAGTTACCGTGGGAACCACCTCCTCCTCTAGCTGTCCAATCATCACTGTGCCGACAGGCACTTACTCGGTCTCTCTCATTTACCTTGTTTTCTGCAGTCTTTAAGATTCGAGACCTAATAGAAGCCAATTCAGCCAATATGGCCTGATTGTTCAGTGTCTCTTGTGTGTGCTTCAATTTACTGCTAGATGTAGTTTTCTGGATATTTTCTAGTGGGGGAATAGTCATAGTTTTTCTTTCTTCTGTCAAGCCAAGTAAAGATTTACAAGCTGTATCTTTGATCTGATTCAGGTTTACTGCAGTGCCACAAAGCTGTGCTCCAGTCACCAAGATAGCTGTGTGGGGGACACACACTGAGGATGGGAGTGCATGACAGCCTTTGCTAATTTTGTGGGCCCTGGACTCTTTGATGGCAGAAGGAAGTGTTGCCTCTCTGGCAGGAGTGACTGGGCTCAGATTCACTTTGTGAAATAGGATCTGTTTCTCACCTGATGACACTTGAAATGTGAATGGTCTAGACATAGTTTGCCTTTCATCTACTTCCTGCCATCTTATTTCTTCCCCTATTCTCTCCTGCTCCTTAGCTTCAGCTTCTCTCTTTTGTTTCTCTGCAAAAGTTTCCTCCACTGGTTTCTTCAGCTCTAGCTGTTTTGTTTTTTGTCTTGAGTCTTCTTGAAGCTGTTTCTCCATAGGCTGCCTACTAGCATCCCCAGAATGCAAATCATCATTCTTCTGTCTTGAGGATTTCTGCAGTCCTTTTTGCTTTTCCAGAAGCAGTTGTCCTTCTATGTGTGTTCTTCTATTCTCTTTTAGTTGTTCTTGAATTTGTTCCTCTTGCCTCTTCTTAAATTCCCCATGTTGTATTCCCTCATCATTCCTGAAGTGCATTTGCTCTGCAGACTCATGCTTTTTTTGTTGTTTTTGTCCCTTATGCTTCTCCAGCACTTGATGGCTTTGTTCTGCCTGTGTCTTCTTTTCCTTCTCCTGAAGCTGCTTTTGTTCTTCCAATCTTTTATGCTGCTCCAGCCTTGAAGTTTCTTCCTCCTGCTTCAGTTTCTCTTCAACTTCCAGATACATTTTCTCGTCTAGATTATGTCGTCTCTGTTCTTCATGTCTTTTCCACTCCATCAATCCTTGCAAGGTTTGTTCCTCCTGCTGCTTCTTTTCTTCTTCCTGATGTTGCTTTTCAATCTCACGCCTTTGTTCTTGTCTTTTCTGCTCCTCCAGTTCCTGCTGCCTCTGTTTTTCCAGTCTCTTCTGCTCCTCCAGTTCCTGCTGCCTCCGGTCTTCCTCAAGTCTCTTCTGTTCTTCCAGTCTCTTTTGCTCCTCCAGTTCTTGTTGCCTCCATTCTTCCTCAAGTTTCCTCTGTTCTTCCAGTCTTTTTTGCTCTTCCAGGTCCTGTTGCCTCTGTTCCTCCTCAAATTTTTTCTGCTCTTCCAGTCTCTTCTGCTCCTCCAGTTCTTGTTGCCTCCGTTCTTCCTCAAGTCTCTTCTGTTCTTCCAGTCTCTTTTGCTCCTCTAGTTCTTGTTGCCTCCGTTCTTCCTCAAGTCTCTTCTGTTCTTCCAGTCTCTTTTGCTCCTCTAGTTCTTGTTGCCTCCGTTCTTCCTCAAGTCTCTTCTGTTCTTCCAGTCTCTTTTGCTCCTCTAGTTCTTGTTGCCTCCGTTCTTCCTCAAGTCTCTTCTGTTCTTCCAGTCTCTTTTGCTCCTCTAGTTCTTGTTGCCTACGTTCTTCCTCAAGTTTTTTCTCCTCTTCCCAGCGCCTCTGCTCCTCCATTTTCAAATGTTTCTCCTCTTCAAGGAGACGTTGCTTTCTCTCTTCCTTATGCCTTCTTTGCTCTTCTCTTTGCATCTCCTCAATTTCTTGGTGCTTCTCTTCTAGATGTTTTGTTTCCTCTGTTTCTACTACTTGTTTTTTCTTATCAGCCTCAAGAATCCTCAAATGATCTTCATGCTTTCTTTTCCCATCTGCTAAATTAGGCTGCTTTTGCTCCACTCTGTCCTGGGTTGACTTGTTTGCTATAATGTGTCCATTGTGATCTGGATTTCTTTCCACATACTGCGGGGTTCCTGGACTTTCTTGCTCATACTCTGGTACTGCTACACTTTGCGACTCCTAATGTTGAGAAACAAAAACAAAGTTTCTTAAAATTGGTTATTGTTCCCTTTCTTCATTGGAAAGAATGGAAAGCTGACCTGTTCATTTTTAATGATCAGTATAGAATAAATACAGAAGTTGGTTTCTGTATCCTCTCTCAGAAAGTTACATTTTGCTACATCTGAGAAAAGTCAGTACATGTTAATTTGTGGGCATAGTGTCACAAACTAAGACATATTAGAGTAACTGAATAATCTGTCAGTTATTCTTTCACAAGTTTACAGGAATAATGTTTTGTAAAAGAAAAAATAACATAGCCACAATAACACTATAGTGCTAAATAATGAATCACTGTATAATGCATGTAAACCAACGCTGATCAAATTCTGATCAATCAAGATCTACAGTAAACATCTTGATAGAAGCTTGGGGGGGTAAAACTGATTTGTGTTAAAATGGGGTAGAAAGTGTCTTTTCATGGGTCTAAGGCTTAGCACTCAAGCCAAAACAGCTAAGAAGCTTGGTGAAATTATTGCTGAATATTGCATGCTGGAAAATGTAGTCTCCCCAAATAACAAGAAAGCTTCCACCATTCTAGCTGCACTTAATCACAGCCCCATCCTGCTGTGAACATAATTGTACAATGTCACATTTCTACTTCCAGCACTGTGCTGAATTTAGCTACTTTGTGAACCATGAGTTCATTATACTAAGGCTCAGAAATATTAAGCATCTGTTCAAAATCATTGTCTTTGTCAATGCTGTCTCTGTAGAGCTAACTGTTTCCACAGAGACATCACACAGCCCCATAGGCAGCAACTGTGCAGTGCTGGAACAGAAAGGGGAAGAACACTAAAGGAAGGTTGCCAGTCTAACCAGATTAGGTAAATTGTGCTTGGTCAAGGCTCCCTGAAGATAGCTCCAGTCCGTGAATCTGGGAGCTTCCTAAAACTGTAGGAAATCATAGAATTATAGACAATTAGGATTGGAAAGGACCTCAGGAGGTCATCTAGTCCAACACCCTGCTCAAAGCACCATCCACAACTATATAATCCCAGCCAAGGCTTTGGCTAGCCGGATCTTAAAAACCTCTGAGGGTGGAGATTCCATAGCCTCTCTGGGCAACCTGTTCCAGTGCTTTATTACCTTCTTAGTTAGAAAGAATTTCCTAATATCCAACCTAAACCTCCGTTGCTGTAACTTGAGACCATTGCTCCTTGTTCTGTTATCCACTACCATTAAAAACAGTCTAGCACCAGCCTCTTTGGAACCACCCTTCAGGCAGCTGAAGGCTGGTATTAAATCTCACCTTAGTCTCAAGTTAAATAAGCCCAGTTCTAGGACTGTGCAAAACAGCACCATTTAGTTGGTGGCTGACGTTTTGACAGGACAGTGTTTTGCTTTGAGTTTCATTTTGTTTTGAAACCACTGTTCCGTTTCATTTAGTTGAAACTGTTTCACTGTTTTGATGCTGTTTCAACATTTTGCCCATAGACTATAATAGGGAAGCACAAAACTGCCTATAGCTTAGTCATTTCTTGTCTGATTTGGATGAATCTTGCAGGGATGGTAGCCCTTTGTGAGGCCATGAAGCCTGCTAGCTTTCAAAGAGATAGGTGCAGGGGTTTCTGGGAAACTGCACCTCAGGCTGCTGACTAGCAAAACTTGTGACATGAATGATACTGTGTGTGTGTTAAGGCACACCCCCACTGGCACTGGGGCCTCTACATGACACAGTAGTGTGCCCCAATGAGGTCTCTTCCCCTACCAAAAAGCCAAAGATCAGTTGAATCAGGCCAAAAAGCCTGATTCAACTTCAGGCTTTTTGGCTGCCCTCCTCCCATTACATAGCCACCCTGTCCCTCCCTGTGAGGTCAAAGGGTAGTGAGATGGGAGGCTGAACTGACTGTGGCCCAGAATATGCCACACAGTGCAGTACAGTGAAAAATTCAAATGTGAACAAGGCCAGGGCCATTTCTTGCCTTTATCTGGCAATCTGTAACTGAACTGCTCTATACTCAGAATCCATACAGCCTCAGCATGGTCCACCACTTTACATGACAACAGGTATAAAATAACTTTATGAGCACTAGCACAGTAGCACCAGCAGCATCTCAGGCAGCCAAACTGTGACAGAGCCTTTCTTTCCTCTCTGGCAGAAGCTTCTTCAGCAGCTGCCAGAGAACTCTCCCTACCAGCCCCAGCCCCAGCCTCATCCCTGGGGCTAAGATGTGCCCAGAGCCCTGCATCCTTCTGGTCAGGTGCTAGGGGTGTTGATCTAAGGACGTGGCACTGGTAGACAAGGTCAGTTTGACCTTTGGGTCAATCTAATCGGTATCTTTTAGCAGACTAACTGAATAGTTAGAGAAATGTATCTTAGCAAGCTTTTGGGTTGAAAAACCCGTCATCAGGCTGAGAAAGCACCTGCAGTTGGTGTGTGTGCTGTTCCTGGCTGGCATGCACTGCAGGCAAGAAAGCCAGTCAGTGAAAATGGAAATGGAGGTGTCAAGGGGTGAGGGACAGGCTGGGGGGCCAGAGGGGCAAGGGGATGTAGCAGCACAGGTAAAAGTGGAGATATATCTGGGGAGTTAGATGTCTGTAGTGTGTCAGAAATCAAATGTCTATATTGAGTCCATGACTTTCTGTACCTACTACCTAGGAGGTTGATGAAGTGAAGTTCATAGGCTCGTCTGTGAAAAGCGGTTTGTAAATTCAAACAAGCACTGAACCCTGCTAACCTCATCACCAGAAGCCAACTTCCTACAGCTCAAAACACACTGAATGGATCCAGGCCATGCCATGACAAGACACGCAAAACCTGCCAACAATATCTCCAGTAGGGAGATATCTTCACAATACAGTACATACCTCCATCAGGGCACATAGTGCGCTGATGGAAAATATGTGGAGACACCGAGCAATAACTGTGCACCAGAATGAGTGCGCACAGAAAATCTATCAAAGACAAGAACACCACCTGTCTCCAGTCTCTCAGGCCTGATTCTCAAAGGGAATTTACAAACCACTTTTCACAGATGAGCCTATAAACTTACTTGTTAGCTGACTGCACACCTTGAGAAACAGTTTTCCTACTCTTCACCAAAAGCCTTTTAAAGAGTAAATGTGTTTTAAACAGGGGAGAAATATTCTGTAGGCACACTACAACCTGCCAGACATCTGACTCCCCAGGTACCTCTCCACTTTTACCTGTGCTGCTACAGCCCCCTTCCCCCCCAACCTCAGCCTGTCCCTCACCTCCTGACACCTCCATTTCCATTTCACTGACTGGCTTTTGTGCCTGCATTGCATACCAGCCTCTGGCTTCTTTACTATTCCTTCCACCCAGGAGCATGCACACACAAAAACTGCAGGTGGTTCCTCAGCCTGACAAAGGGTTTTTCAACCCAAAAGCTGGCATCCCAGGCAGCTAAGCTGAGCTCACCTGGAGCCTCAACTCCACTGCAACCTGGGACTGGAAGGGACCTCAGGGAAGGATCACAGTCATTGGCCAACTACATAGTCGATATAAGAGCAGTCCTTTTCCCCACTTCCCCCTCCGTCTCCTTACTTTCTGTTTCCCTGCAGGCAAGTCCAGCTTGAGTTTCAAAACGTTTCCATTGCCCTCATTTTGTTTTGAGGCTGTTTCAAAGCCCTTAATTTCATTTCAATTTCACTGTTTCGAGCTCAAAATGAGTCAAAACAGCATCAAAACAAAACAGCTGGTGAAATTTCGCACAACCCTATCCAGTTCCCTCAGCCTCTGTCACGTCATGTCTCCTAGCCCCTTAACCATTTTCATTGCCCCCAACTGGACTGTCTCCAATTTGTCCATATCATTTCTGTCGTGGGGGGGCCCAGACTGGACACAGTACTCCAGATGTGGTGTCACCAGTGCTGAATAGAGGGAAAGAATTGCTTTGCTCAATCTGCTGGTAACACTCCTACTGATGCAAGCCAATATTCTGTTAGCCTTCTTCGCAACAAGGGAACACTGCTGGCTTATATTCACCTTATGGTCCAATGTAATCCCCACGTCCTTTTCTGCAGAGCTGCTTTGCCAGTCAAACCTCAGCCTGTACTAGTGGATGGGATTGTTCCATCCTAAGTGCAGGACTTGACACTTGTCTTTATTGAACCTCATGAGATTTCTTTTGGTCCAAAAAATCTGGAACTCACCAACATTTCTGTGCTAGCTGAGAAATATGATGACTGGTACTTAATGAAGGTGGCCATTGTAATTAAATGGAAGGTGGAGGTGGCTTAGTGTTGCTAGTGGGCACTTTCTTTGTTTGGCCACATGTACTCAGTAAACTTGTGCTGCACGGCAGTGGTACCCTCAAGCATCCTGTCCTGCTCCTAGTTGGTTGGTTCCTAACCCGGAAGCACAGCAGTGTCTGTGCAGTGCTTTGGAGACTACTTAGCACTGATGAATTCAAGGGCCAGCTAGCTCGTCCAAGATGCCATGCAGACACAGCTACACTGCTTTTGGTTTAACAGGACTTGAATATGCTGCTGCCTGGCACAATCAGTTTACTGTTAGACAATTACTTTTGTCTCAGCTCCTTCTGGTTCTGTGTATATACTCTTCTGTTGAGACCTTGTACTTAGCTGCAACACCTTTATAACAGGTTTCAAGTCCTTTACTGATTCTTGTTCTTGGCTCCCAGCTTGTGCCTTGCATGCCAGATCCTTGCAGCAATACCAGGTCACCTGGGCTCTAGGCATACAGCTAACTTGGTTTCTGTCCTATGTGGGGAATGCTTCCTCACAGCTCCTGGGATTTTATTGGTTTCGACACAACTCTGCAGCTCCTCAGACAGCAGCCCTACTATTAAGGCTAGTGACAAAAGATACACATAAACTGGTTTAAGTGATTGGAAACTGGTTTAAACTGGTAACACAACAGAAGTTCAGTGAACATAAACCAGTTTCAAAATAGCTGAAACTGGTTTAAGATAAACCTGGTTGAACATAGTATCAAACTTAACTGATTTAGGTCAAACCAGTTATGAAACTTCTGTGCCAGACCCCTTCCTGGTTCAAATTAAATCACAATCCCTCAGCAACCCAAGATGCTTTGCAGTCCTGGGCTGGCTGGACTATAATGTCTGCTCCAGAGAGCAGGGTTGGCCCTGCCCCTCTGCTCCCTTAGCTGGAGCAGTGAGGGCTGACTGGCAAGGGGGTGTGGGTGGGAAACCCAGCTGGGGACCACAGCAGGCCTACCTGGAGGGATAGAGGGGAAACAGTCCTTGCCAGTCTTTCCCCCGCTGGAACAGAGGGGTAGGGGCTTGGGCAGGCAGGCTCAGGCAGAGGGGTGGGAGATGGGTTTAAACCCCCTCCTCCCACCAGCACAGGAACCCAGCCAGGGTCTGCTTGCCAGGGGACTGGCAGGAGACCAGCGGACTCCACCCCCCTCCCACCTCTGGCAGAGGTTGAGGCAAGCAGTTGATAAGGGGAGGGGGCATAATCCCCATCAGCTCCCCCAGGCCATGGGGGAGGGGGAAGAGGCTGGGGAATGAGGGCTGGAGGAACTGGTCCCCTGCCACCCATGAGTAAAAGGCCAGGCCCTGCAGGGCCAGACTGAGAGGTGGGAGGTGTTGGCAAATACCTGGCACAATCATCACATGTATGTGCTGAAGATGCAGGTAAGAGAATAGGAGAGAGTCCCAGACTGCTTGGGCTGGTGTGACCAACGAAAGCAGAGAACTACATTTACATTATAAAGCAGAACCTGTAAAAGGTGGGGGACTGGAATACCTAAGAAGAGACAAAAGACACTGAATGTATGAGAGTCCTGCCAAAGGTGCTGTGGGAGGGTAGGGCAAGCATACTAATGTCAAAGCACCCAAGGGGGACAAGGGGGTGCAAGTGGGCCTGTAAAAACCCAAATAGAGATGAGTCCTGCAGGATCTCTACTCTGACACCTAACACCACCTGCTGATTTCCCAAGAAGGACTTTCTGAATCCCTGGCTGTAAGGAGACACTCTGACCCCAGGATTATGTAAGACTTATGCAAGGCATTCTCTTGTCTTTTTGATTTATTAAATTCCAGTTTAAGCTAGACTAAGCTGTGTGTGCTCTCACTGTGTTTTACTGAGCTGTATCTTAGCTTATGTGAAGGTTTTTGGTTGTTCTTTGTTGTGCGCTTGAGGTTGCAAATTGCTGTGTTCAATACATGCTAACTTCAGAGAAAGGACTATTCTTGTTCAAGTTTTTCTGAATTCAATGCCACTACCTTTTTCCCCACCCACCCCTTCCTCAGTCTGGCAGGGGCTGCTTTCTCCCTGCCTTGAGCAGGGAGCTGAGGGGGAAAGGGTTGCAAAAGCCTGGTAAGCACTGCCCCCCTGCCCTGGCAGATGCAGGCTGAGGTCCCATATGGGCCAGGGATGGTATTTAGACCCCCACCCTCCAACATGCTAGCCCCAAACTGGCACCTGGCCATGTCCCCTCTGCTCAAGCAGGGAGTGGGGAAAAGCCTTGGAGCTTCACTCCCTTCCCTTTGGCACTGGCTGGCAGGCTGGGAAGCATGCTGCAGCACCCACCCCCCCGCCCCGCCCCGGTTTCTGGCCTGAGCCACTGCAGGCATGCGGCTGCATTTCCTGAATCAAAAATGACTCTGTTCATTTGCTTCTCAGTTTAATCTCTCCAGTTTAGACTAGCCTGCAAAGGCTGAACTGATTCAACTTCAGGCTTTTTGGCTGCCCTCCTCCCATTACATAGCCACCCTGTCCCTCCCTGTGAGGTCAAAGGGTAGTGAGATGGGAGGCTGAACTGACTGTGGCCCAGCATATGCCACACAGTGCAGTACAGTGAAAAATTCAAATGTGAACAAGGCCAGGGCCATTTCTTGCCTTTATCTGGCAATCTGTAACTGAACTGCTCTATACTCAAAATCCATAAATGGCCACAGTCTCAGTTGTATTTATTTGAAGTCAAGAGTTGGGATTCTGAAGCCTGGTTTTGTTGGGGTTATGAAGGAACTACAAGTGCCTTGTCCTGGGAGCACCTCTGCGGCTTCAATAATATCAAAGGGAGTGTGGGACAGCCTTAGCCCACTTTCCCTGCCCACAGCACAAATCAACAGAGCTTGGCTGAGTTGGGCAGACGAGTACACTGCACACTTGGTGTGGCTTCTGGAGCTTTCCCAGAAGAATTCAGCTCAGCTTCCACCCCAATGAGCCAGCAAGGCATACTTTGATCCTGATTATACAGCAACATTTTATTCTGTCTTTAAAAAAAGACTGGAATTAACCTCTTCATCACAGAAGTTCTTGGGATGCAGAATTTTAGCTAGGTACGTGGGCAGGACAGGGGAGCTTGTATTACCACTGCCTTTCCTCATCCACCCTCAGCTAATTCCCAGAGTCACTACAAGTGCTGATTTTTCATTTTTTTTTAACTTCAGAAAAATACAGTAAATGCCTAGAGCTAGAATATGATAAGCAACTCAGTTCTCACTATCATTTATAGAATCTGAATTAAGTCATAATCATTTTCATAACACTGTGATCAACAGATGTTGTCATTATCAGACTCTATGGATCTGCAAGAAACTGAGTTTAACTTTCAGGTATTTTTTTCTAAGCAAACACTATTTTTACTCTCTTACAAAACAGTGTAATAAAGAGTAGTTCTAGCAGTAGGCACCCCTTCAAGCCATGTCTATGGCCAGGTCTATAGTACAAAGTTTTGCTAGCCACCTATGTTGCCTAGCGACACAAAAAGATCACATCTTCCTTCATGTAGGTGTACCAGAAAAACTTCCCAATCTGGATGCAGTTATGCTACCAAGAGATGGCTTCTGCCAGCAGGGTGGGAGGGGTGGAGTCTCCTGGTCTCCTGCCGGTCCCCTGCCAAGCAGACCCCAGCTGGGGTCCCATGCTGGTGGGAGAGATTTAAACCTCCCTTCCCTCTGCCTGAGCCTGCCTGCCCACATCCCCACCCACTCTGCTCCAGTGGGGAAAAGTCTGACAGAGACTACCCCCCACCCTTCTGCCCCCACCCCAAGTCAGACCTGGCTGTGGTTCCCAGCTGGGTTTCCCACCTCCCACCCCCTTATCAGCCAGCTCTCACTGCTCTAACTAAGGCAGCAGAAGGGCAAGGCCAACCCTGCTCTCTGGAGCAGACATAACAGCCCAGCCCAGGGCTGCAAAGCATCTTGGGATGCTGGGGGATTGTGATTTAACTTAAACCAGGAAGGACTCTGGACAGAAGTTTCATAAACTGGTTTGATACAACATTCAACCAGGTTTATCGTAAACCGGTTTCAGCCATTTTAAAACTGGTTTATGAACACTCAACTTCTGTTTGGTTACAAGTTTAAACCAGGTTCTGATCACTTAAACTGGTTTATGTGTAACTTCTGTTCCTAGCCTAAATGGCTTTGCAGCCATAGCTGTCCCAGCACAGTTCCAGAAGCAGCAGCTCTATAATGTAGATGAGCCCTAAGTTTTCACTGCAAAATGATACACATTTTACAGGGAGGCTGCCAGATTGAGATAACTTTGCTGACAAAATCTGAGTAGACATCCCAGGTGGGGCATGGAACGTTTACCCCATTTGCCTTGTGCCTTACGTTTAGGCACGTATCCCTGGTGAGACATTTCATTTCACTATCTGATTACCCAAATCAGCTCAGTACCTTTGTTAATCTCCTGTGTTTTCTTGACATCCTCTGTTTTTTTGGCTTCACAGACAGCTTGTGCTTAGCAGCACTGTTATCTAGACGAGCGACTGCCTGGGGGACCGCATCCAAGTTGATTGATTCAATGGTGCCAGAAGAAGAAAGGTGTCTTTTTGGCCGAGACGACTTGACCAGGGTGACCTGTTCATACCATACATGCAAAGTACCTCTCATTAAAAAAAACAGAAAGAAGGCACCTTAGATTCTACAGTGTCCCCCGACCCTCAGGGTACTTTTAAAAATTAATTTCTATGTTTAGGCATTCAGAAGAGTTGTTCATGGAAAAAATGCAAAACCATTTACTATTGGGGGGTGGGGCTTAGATACTGAACATGGAAGTGGCAGCTGTTAAAATACTGTATCCTCTCACACAGCACATGCCCCCAGATAAGATGCACACATAGTTTTTGAAAGGCAGAATGGAGAAAGGAAAGGCTTTTCCACAGTCATGGCATACAGCTAGCTTTTTCATGGAGACATAGTGCTGCAAAATGACTACCACCTTCTCTCTCTCTCTCTCTCTCTCTGCCAGCAAGCAGGAGGGTTGCAGCCCACTGTTAACCTTTTCACAGCCACTCTCAAATTGGCCACAGTGTTTGGCCGCTTATCTTTTATACATGTCCTTTCACGTAGTTCTGCATGAGAAAACAAGGTGAAAGGAAGTTCCTTGTATACTGTCACCTACTCCTCCCACAACCCTCCAATACAAGCCTAGATATAACAGCCCTACATCTGCAGCTTAGTATAACATAGATCAAGTTCCCACATAGCATAAAATACATAGAATATACACCATGAACATGTAATTATGGCCACAGGCATCAGAACATTTCCATTTCCCATTTTAAACCGAGCAACCTCAGCACTGCATTTGTGTGGTTCAGGCAAAATTCTGAATTACTACTATATCTGGTAACTGCAGTGAACCAAATGAGGATTTTATGCAGTGAAAAATTGTTTTTTTTCATTTTTATTAACTTTCCGGAAATAAGTCCATATTTTTATAGAAACCCTCAATGACTGAAGTATTTTCATTCCCAGTGGTTGAATACCCCAGCTAAGATTGACTGACATTGCTTTGTCTTTATACACTACTATTTCATACTGCGTAGACAGGTAAAACAATTAAACGGGTTTAAAAAGATGCATGGGGGAGATATTCAGTTTTTCTGCATTTGTCTTCAACAGCTAATCAACTGGAAACTGTTACATATGTCCATTCTGTCTTACTATAAGGGGCAACTAAACTGCAATAACTTACCCTTTGTTTTATTCAGGAGTAAATTACTACAGTTTAAGTACTGCCTGCTGCAGGGTAGAGCAAGCACGTGAAGCAGTTACCATGGAGATCAGCTTGGCACATAATTTTCTCCAACTTAAATCAGTATGATTGTTTCAACTGTCTATACCTTCAAAGGCATAACTGGTCAGAATTGTGCTTTCTCCCTCCATTCTGTACCTTAGAATCATACAAGGTTAGGGTTGGAAGGGACCTCAGGAGGTCATCTAATCCAGCCTCCTGCTCAAAGCAGGACCAGCCCCAACTAGATCATCCCAGCCAAAGCTTTTGAAAACCTCCAAGGATAGAGATTCCAACACCTCTCTGGGTAACCTGTTCCAGTGTTTTACAATCCTCCTAGTGAGAAAATACTTCCTAATATCTAACCTAAACTTCCCTTGCTGCAACTTGAGACCATTGCTCCTTGGTCTGTCATCTGCCATCACTGAGAACAGTTTAGCTCCACCCTCTTTTGAATCCCTAGGTAGTTGAAGACTGGGTAGTTGAGGGCTGCTATTCAGTCCATTCTCACTCTCCCCTTCTCTAAGCTAAATAAACCCAGTTCCCTTAGTCTTTCCTCATAGGTCATGCCCCCTTCCTCTGAGCAGCTCTAGCTCCAGCACTGACAGCTGTGAAGGCAGAGCAGTGACAGCAGTGCATGGTGCTCAAGTAATGACAAGTGTTTTTCTGCCAATGGGGGAGATGCTACCTCATTTTTTGCTGCCAACACACATGAAGAGGCCAAATCATCAGTTTTTGGCAACCAAAGAAAAGGAGGCAACGCATCCAAGCAGCCAACCTCTGTTTAGAGCTACATTCTCTGGCATGCCTACATCTCCCAGAATGCCTTTCACAAAAGCCTGTCACCCACACACATTCCTGGACTGCTACTTTCTGCTCTCCCCACAACCATAGCCACAGTCACTGCAAGGAAAGTGTATAGGAAGTGGGAGCTATAACACTAAGGCACTCCCCTAGCTCCATTTTAACAATCTTTGTCCCTTAGGCAGCATCCAGGGTTCATGCACTGCTTGTCCACACATTCTTATATTACTGCATACTTTGCACTCAATTGGCACGCAAGTCAACAAGTCTAAGCTTGCCTTAGGTATCAAAAAAGGTCACATGTCCACCTAATCCTAGAGCCCCTTTGGGGTGGCATGTCTAATGCACACCAGATGCTGTAGCCAACAGCTCCTATTTGAGTGCTGTGACTAGTATAACACGTGGCTGCCTTTGATACAAAAATCAAATAAAAAGTCCTTTTTCAAATATATAGGGAGGATGAAGAAGGCACTGGGAAACGTGGGGCCCCTGCAAGATACGCTGCGCAATCTGGTGGTTGCACCAGAGGAGAAAGCAGACCTCTTTAACCAATTCTTCACCTCCGTTTTCTTGTCCAGGACTTCCCCACCGTGATGCAAGATGGACTCGAGGGGAATGCCTCCAGACCTCAGGCTGGGGAGGACCGGGTTAGACAGCTTCTGGAGGGGCTGGACGTGTTCAAATCAGCGGGTCCAGATGCTCTCCACCCCAGGGTGTTGAGGGAGCTAG